GTTTAAGGGAGAAGCGCTCTTCTCTATAACTTGCACGGAACAAACACATCTATCACAGATTCAGAGAGGGGAAAAGCGCTCACTTTGTTTGTTTGTCTGTTGGTTTGTTTGTTTTCCTTCGTGAATATTGTGTGGGAAGCGTTTTTTTCATGTTGTTCTGTTGCCTTGAATATTGCGTTGAGCGTTTCTCGTTGTTTTCCTATAGTGTATAGAGCCGTGTTGCGTGCAAAAGTGGGCGTCTTTCAGAACGAATATTTCTTTTATTTCTGTTGTGTGCGTTGATGCGTTAAGCGTGTTGGATTCGATGACTCTAACGAACGGCGAGGTGTTCTCTCTGCCCGTTGTTCTTGCTATTCCCAAGTCCTGCTGCGGAGAAACTGCAGCAACAAACGTCTATTGGATGAGCTCAGCTCCTTCTGTCAGCACCAACCAAGGGCGCATGAAGCTCCGGGATGTGGTGAGGATGGCGTGCTGCCGCTAGAGCCCCGTTCTGCGTCTTTTTACTGTTTGCTCGCCGCCCGTCTTGTTGTGTTAAATGATAGAAATCCTGACAATAGTAGCTCTGACAATAAAATATCTGAAAAGAACGCTGCTAAGAAGTTGACAGGTGGTTGTGAGTATGAAAGATGTTCTTATCGGAGTTCTCTATCATCCAGGTATTATTGTTGAAGCGAAGAAGAATACCCTGGTTTGTTGAGTGTATTGACTGATCTAGAGAAGAAGCGTTTAAAATGTGTTTGTTTTTGTTTGTTTATGCTGTTTAGGTGGGTACAGTAATAGCTCAACTGGACGTAGAGAGCGTTTATCTCCCGGATTTAGAGGAGGAGATGCAGAAGGTGTTGGGCACCACCGACCCCAACCACCCATACGTGAAGTATCTGCGTGACAACCACTCCGAGTGTTATTATGTTGGGGGGAAGATAACTCCTGTTAACCCCATTGTGCATTTCAACTTTGAACACTACCGTATGTCTCCCGCCCTCTGCAAGCAGCGAATAAGAGACAGAAACTATGACGTTGTCGTTGGGTTTCAAACACGAAACCCCTTACATAGAAGCCACTACGAGCTCATCAAGCATGCACTCAAAACTGCAGCAGCAACAGAGAAGAAAAGGCCAATGCTCCTTCTTAGTCCTGTCGTGGGCCCAACACAACCAGGAGATGTTCCCTATTACCTACGCACACGCTGCTATGAACACGTAATCCGTCATTTTGAGCAAGACGGAGAATGCAAGTTCTCTCACCTCTGCCCCACCACAACCAGCACCCCCAACCGCAGCCCCCCCCGCACTCAGCAGCAGCAGCAGACGCACAGCACAGAATCAACCAGGA